CAGGGCATGGTAGCTGTTCTGATTCAGGGCTCTTTGCTTGACTGAGCCTCAGCAGTGAACTCCATGAAGCTTTCACCCTTGTGATCTGGAGAAACTCAGGTCTTGAGTGTAAAGAGACATCTTAAGGGATACGCAATATCTAGACGTTGTGTCATTAGGATGTCGTATGTCATTTGTAGGTGAAAGATGGTGGTGTTTCTCCATTTTACTGTGATATCTAGGTAGCACAATAAGGCATGAAAGGATTACAAGGGGTGTAAGGGTCTGTCAAAATTTTGTAGTGAACCAGGAAATAGCACCCTCCATTTGGCCATTGTGTGTTACCTTTCCCCACTCTTCCTTTGCTGGGTGTGTCAGGCCTCCCCTTAGAGTGTCCAAGCACAAGAGGTAGGGAGTTATTTGTTCTGTGAAACTGCTAGCTTTTAGTCTTGTTCTCTTCTGTGGACTTCCCTTGCTAGTGTGTAGAGACAACCTTAAACTCAGCTTCTGAAATTTGTTATTTTAATTCAGGATGCATGCCCCTTCCCAACATTCAGCCTTTGGACCAGAAAGTGGATACTGGCAATGCTCAACTAGCTCCCTAAAAGTAATGAGTTCTGAAAACGCACTCGATGACTTGCCTGACTCCTGTGCAGTGGATGGCTAATTCTTGCATTTCCCGCTTTCATGTAGTCTCCCATATGCCACCAAGCCAGAGTGTTGTTATTACACTCCTTTCTAAGTGGCCCATCCCTGTGCTATCTGAAATTGTAGCATGGTTTTCTGTGCTACATCCTGTGGGTTATGGGACAGTCTGTTTATAAATGTTGCTCCCATTCAAGCAGTACATGCATCATGGCTCCAGGCCCTTTATGAAGGATCCCCTGATATTTCAAGGGCTCTGAATGCTTTAATTGTATTGAAACAGCAATTCTGTAGGGTTGTTCCAGGACATCATGCATCAGCCTGTTCTTCTCAGTCCCTGGCAGCCATGCCAGATTGCAGCTCTAGTCAGCCAACCTGAAGGACAGTGACCTGCAACCAAGCAAGTATGCACCAATGTATCCCTGAGCTAGTTTCTCACAGTCTTTTTCTCTTACAGCAAACAGGAAAGCTGGCTGTGCTGTCACCTCATTGCTAGCCTCGGAGCTGACAAAGGATGAGGCGCTAAGTGCAGTACCACGCAAGATGGCAAAGAATGAGTTGGCAGCCGATGGAGGAGTCCATGATGAAGCCATGGAGATGATCAGCCGTTCAAGCTAGACCTGGGTGATGGATTAGGGCTGAAATCTGCAGGACTGAAAAAAAATGTGCAAAGGAAGCAAAATACACTGGGTCACTTTGCAGTCTTTTGGCCTGGGCCTGAGGGGTAGTGTAATTTCCTTCTTGCTCTTAGGCCTGCTTGTGCCAGCTTTTTGGCCTTTTGTTTTTGTTCTCTAGATCATCTCCAATCTTCAGTCTGCCTCTCAGATTACAAGGCATAATGCTTTAGCTGAATGTAAGCCATGCTTTCAGAGCAAAGGTGAGAGACACTGGTTTAGCCCTCCTTTCTCTGCAGGAGTATGGTAGAGCATACTGGGAGGTAAGGGGTGTAGAGGGAGGGATTAGAAGCCACCACCCCACCTACACATATCCCTGCATTGGGTGTTGCCAAAGCAGGAACTTTACAAGCTGCCTTAACCCGAACTTTTTAAAGTATCTCTAATTTTGGGACTTGCTGCTGAGCCAGGCCAGCCAAAAGCTCCATTTCCCCACGAGACTGACCTCCAGCAGTGCTGGAGGTTCTCAACCTGCTTCCTTATCCATCTCTATGTGGGAGGAAATTTTGTAGGTCAGTTTAGCTGAACTTCAGTTTCTCCAACTGCTGGGTTGTGTTCTTGTACCCAGCACCTTCTCTTGTGCCCTCTTTCTACCACATGCTAGGAAAGGAAGTGACACCTGAGGTGGGAAGCGCTGTCCTTGTCTCCCTCAGGACCTGCCACTTTCCTGCTCATCCCAGATCCTTTTTCTGCTTGTTACATTTATTCTAGCATCTCTTCAGCTGAGCCTTCCTGCCACTGGAACTAATGTCATAGCAGTGATTACTCAAGAGGAAACAGGTGAAGTATTCACTGCTGATAGGCTGTTGGGCAGGAAGCTGTTCTAGTGCAGTAGCTGCCTCTGCATGTTTTGGAACCAAGAAGAATAAAAGTTAGGTGTATTCTGTGTTGCTCAATGTCCTACAAAAGCATTTGCTGCAGCCCCAAAGCAGCCTCTGCTTGGAATGAAGCTGGGGCTGCAGTTCTCTGCAGTGTACAGTCTGCACAGCACACTCCTTTGGAAAGCATATGATCTTTTGGAGAAAATCTCTTGTGGCTGCAGCTTGAGCCCCACCCAGGCTTATCAAGTCTGCTTGCTTCAGCTGTTGTGTTGTGCCATGCAGAGGAACTTCCTATCTCCTTGCCATGGTGATAGACAGATGGAGGCTCCTTCTGACTGAGAAGTCACTTTGCAAATGTATCTATTTTTGTATCAAATTTTGTTTTAAAAGGAAATTTTAATGTACAGTGAAAATAACTAAAACATTTGCATGTTCCTGGAGTCCCCTCCGTGCACCATGTGCATTTTGCTGCCAGCTGTGGGATGGTGGAAGTAACCACCTACAGCACTGCACTGCGTTCTGTTGTCCCCAGAGCATAAAGGAGCTGGCCATTCACTGCGCTGTGTGTGGCTACTGTCCCCTTGCCTAGAGGGGCTGCTTCACCTATGTACTAGGGAGAGCTTATCCATCATGTGCATGCAATAGAGGAATTCAAATGCTGGCTCTAGTTTTATCTCACAGGTGTGAGATGATCTATAATATGATGTATTTTATCACCCAGGGGCTGCTAGCCCAGGCTAAGGATGTTGGGCAAGCAAGGGGTGGAGCTGTGCTTGACATCCTGAAGCAGAGGGAGAGCAGGCAGGAGCCCTTTTCTGGCAGCATCCCAACTGCTTGCCTTAATGTCATCTGTTGGTATAGGAGCTGGGAATGTGAATAGTGCAAACTCAGCTTTGGGCCCCTGTGTTACTGGGGTTTTGGTGTCATCTAATTTAATATATTAACGGAGACACATTTTATTGTGGTCTAAGTGCTGGAGTGATCTCTAATAGTCCAGAGTAGTCTGAGCCTTGCACACATCTCCGTGGCTACTTCAGCTGTTGCACCTGTGAGCTTTCTATACGCATGGAATGGATGAACATGATGGCTTTTCATGCATTTGTATAGCATGAGTGCCCCAATATTGTGCACTTCTCACAGTGTGTAATTATTTGATCTGTTGGGCTTGAGACCATGCCCTGGCTTCAGGCATAGCCATCCCAGGGCCTTGCAGGAGATTTCCGTTCTCTGAGAGATTCCTGCTTTGCAGCTTGGGGTCACAATGATAGAATCACATCTCTACATTTGACAGCTAGCAAATTAGACGGGTATTGTTCTGCCTGTAGTATCCCTTGGCACTTCCACAGAGGAGTAGTAATGGGCCTGCAGACTCTGGGATATGTCTGGGGCTTAGCGGAAAGGGTTGTTGAGGCTGCAGCATTTGGGGCTCACATCTGGGGAGAGGAACTTGGGGAGCATAAATGAGGAAAATTAGCCCCAATGGACTCTCGTGGTATCTGCTACTCCCCAACAAGAGGGAGAAACAAATGCTACAAGTGAAGGAGTGAAGGTCTTTTTTTGCAGGTGCCTGGATAGATGCTGCCAAAGATTAGGTTTAATACTGCCTTCTCCCCTCCTGAGCCAAAGGTGTCATGCCCAGAGGTTTTGCAGCTTTTATTTGTTAACTACTTTTGTTTAAAAAAAGACCATTCCATTTCCAAACTGCTTTGGGTGTTTCCTGGGACTTGTGATCAGCTCTGATTATTTGGTTTGAAATGTTAATAAACAGTTGAAACTGTGCAGGGTTCTCAGCCTCCCATTTCCTTTCATTAACAGCATGGCATAGCTGGGCCCCCTGCCATGATACAATGGCAAAGGGTGTCCTGGAAGTAGATGCTGTGTTCCCCAGCTGAACTAGAGCAAATGTGGAGGGGCAGTTTCAGGACAGCATACTTGCCTGCTCACTCCTCTCTTCCTCTCTGTTTTGGTCAGTGTACAAGGAAGCTGGCAGTGTTCCAGGCATGTGTATGCTCGTGGCCATCACGTGGAACCACAGTTCTTTTGCTTGTGGCAATGTGCATAGTCAGCCACTTTATTGTGGATGAGATATTGGAAATCAGCTTTCCAATACTTTAGCCCCACGTCCCATATGTTCTCTCTCATTCTAGTCCATCCCCATGTGCTAGGGTACCTTCATTAGGTCCACTGGTGCATGATTAGTGACTGTTTCAGAGGGAATCAGAAAAATTGAGTTGGTAAGGTGCCTGTTGCCTCAAAGTGGTCCCGTTACAGGAGGCAGGGGCTCTTCTCTCAGAAATTCAATCTTGAGGGAAGAGAAAAGAAATTATTGAATTTTCAGTCTAGGAAAGGAAGAAGCGCTAGGTGGTATCCCTTTCCCTCAGCCCAAGGCAGTTGGTAACAGGACTGGAGGAAAACACAGGTTGCCAGAAGTGGAAAATTTGCCCCGATTCTTGAGGCTAAGCAATGGACATGAAAATTAATCAGGTTCCTTCACCAGGGTTTGTGGGACACAAGGATTGGCCCCACCCTCTAATCACAGAGAGCTATGCCTCTGCTAGCTGCTGACTTCCCCACCCTAGCACAATGAGTTTTTTCCCCCTGGAAAAGAACAGGTACTTTACTAAACAGGATAGACATGGGCAGTCGGTTTTACTGCATCATTGTCCTGGACAGCTCAAAGTTTGTCTTGGAGATAATGCTAGCTTTGAGGGGTGTGAATTGCCATGGTTTAACCACTAAAGTCAGAGGGCCACAGGCACTGCCGTCTGGGGAACACGCAAGCTGCTTCAAATGTTGGCAGCTTAAACCTGGGCAGATTTATTTCCTTCATATGGGCAAGATCATGGCAGCTGGATACAAGTGTTCACAAGGGACACCAGAAGGCCACAGTGTGAGGCAAATACAGAAGAGCTCAGCAGCATGCAGTTTGGACATGTGGAGCCTCCCATGGTGCTGTAAGGGTTTCCTGGGTTTAAAGCCCCTTTTCATGATTATGGAACTGGGGAAGAGTGGCTAGTTTGGCTGCTCTGTGATATCACCGCACATGTTGGTTTTCTCTATTTGTACAAAAAAATGGAAAAATAAAAGTTATTTTGAGTACAAAAAGCTGCTTGTGATTCTTACCTTTTTCTACTTCTTACCATGGCTTGCTTTATGCCTTCTCAGTCCACAGTGTAGTTACAGTAAACATCTGGATTGCAGCACTCCAGTTATTAAACATGACCTCTGTCAAACTTGAGCTGTAGCCCTGCCTGAGGAACATAACTGTCTATTGCCAGCTGCACTGCAATTGGCTGACCCCCTGCATCATATTCTAGGGCTGAGGAATTGCACTGCAACTTCGGGAATACCTTTTGACTGTCTGACCCTCATTAGCCCTTCCATCTAGGCAACTTGGTGCAGCTAGGCTTTAAATTTGAACAACAGTAACAAAAGCTGTGAATATTTTTCCTTCCAGAAAAGTAAACTGGCAACATTATTATGGACATGCAGCATCTCATTAAGTGTCTCATTATCAGGTAAGTGATGGTGGAAGAGCAGCTGAGATGCTTACCTGTCAGAAAAATCACTCAAACCAAAAACCAAGCATAAGACTATTTAAATTGTGGAAGACTGAGAAAAAAATCAGCCAGAGTTGCCCAAAATATTTTGATCTTTGTTTTTCGGCAAAAAAGAGCAGGGAAAAAGTGACTGCAGTGATACACACATCCTTGAACCATGTATAAGCCCTAGTACAGCTTCTTAGTCTGGCTGATGTGCTTTTGGGTTGTTTTTTTTTTTGATGGATCAAATCTTAAAGCTAAGCTCAATGACCCCTTAAGTCAGGTCTTAAGGGTTCATTTACATGAGACATTTACTGCAGAGTTGACTAATTAGCTCTGCAGTAAACATCTTGGTGCCTACATTTGTGGTCATAGGTGATGCAAGGGGGTGGGCACGGAGGGCACATGCCCCCACGAATTTGTGCCAACAGTGGGGAATGGTTGCAGCTCAGCCAAAGCCAGCACCTGGCAGCAGCAGGGGTGGTGGTGACATAGTTGTGCCTGCACACTGTCAACTCTTATGCGCCATCTGTGCATGCAGCCCTATTAGGCTGCAGGAAACCAATGAATTCTGCAGCAGATTAGTATTTGTAAATAAAAGCACTATCCTGCTGCAGAACTTTTTCATGCACAGCAGTGCATGTGTAGACACTGACCTGGCTGGCTAGATTATGAGGGTGCTTCAGTGCAGGGGCTGCCAGCTGGCTATCCCCATTCTGTAGCATCCTCATGCCCCAGCCAGCCGCTCTGCAGAACTCTGAACCAGGTCAGAACAGCGCCGGGATGGCAGGCTGACCCCCGGACTCCCTGCCAGCTGGGGCTTCTCTGACCTGGCTCAACATACTGTGGCCCTGGGTACATGTGTAAACGTAGCACCTGAAAGCAATAAACTCCAGCATGACATGCACTGGAGTGTATTGCTGTGCATTAATATGCATGTGTAGGTGCACCCGCTGAGGTCTACAAAAGTTCTAATACTTGCCAGTGTGCAGTGACTTATTCCGTGCCTTCCTTTCTGTGCTTCTATACACAAGTATAGAAGGAAAGGACAGGCACTCCAGTGCTGTGGAGACAGATGCTCTGCTCCCAGTTCAAGGGAGGTGGGGAAGAGTGGCAAATGGGATTTAAGATCCAAAATACTTCTTAAGTAGTGCAGTAAATAAAAGTATGTTGGTTGACTCCATGAAGGCCTCTGAATCAACTGGGTTTGAATTTATTCTCCAGCCAGACTTTAGCCAAATGAGAGACATTTATCTTCACAGATACCTAAAGTTTGGCTAGGATTATATGGCTGTTTCCAGGTGGCCCTTTAGGAGGCACAATTGCTTTCCAACAATCATGTACAGTGGGGCTTTGTGAACATTGGTGACTGAGTGTCTGGAACTTCACTGATTTTAGGGTTTTATTCCTTGTTCCCTGTATGTGATGGGTAGCAGAGAGACGGCTCTGTTCTTGTATTTAGAGATTCTAGAATTCTTCTCCACAGCTGGGATCACTCAGGAAGGGTGTCAGGCTCCCATACAAAAGGAAAAATTCCATATGTATTGCTGGATTGTGGGTCTAAGCATAAACTTAAGCGGACATTTCACAGCAAACTCCATTGTTGTCAATGGGAGTTTGCTCAAAGATCAAGGCAAGAATACAAACCTGTAATTCTAGTCATCATCACGTAATGGGAAAATATGGTCATCTTTAGGATCAGTGTTTTTTTCCTTCCTTTGTTTCACTACCTCTTCCATAAACAGAAGAGACATTTTCCCTCTTTCTTTGTGCGTCTTCTGCATTTTCTTCCATGCAGCAGTTCCCAATTCCCACTCCTATGAGATTCATTCCACCCACTTCCATCTGCCAAAACAATCAGGAATTTAAATAATGTTATCCACCAATCTGTAGAGTTCACATGTGGATTAGAGTTGGGGTAGTGGGCATTCACACCTCTGAGCCTTTTTTTTGGAGGGACCCTAACATATAATTTCACTAATAAGTGGCTGCCTTAGGAAGATTCAGTTCACGAATATGAGAGCCTTTTATTTTTTAATGAAAGTTCAGATTATGCAGTTTCTATGCATTCTCCAAAGCTGGGTAGAACTAGGTTTGGGATTGGGTGCTGGACAGCCTGAATTCAGTGTTTTGAAAAAATAGGTCCCCCAATCTGTCTTTTGTTCAATCCAAAAGATACGAGTCTAATGTTGTTGGGCAGCTGTCTGAAAACAACACTGTATTCACTACCAAAATACCTATTAGGGCTGTGCAAAACAGCACTGTTTCGCCATTTCGACAGGACAGTGTTTCGTTCTGTTTCGCAAGAACTGTTCCATTTCGTTTAGTCAAAACTGTTTTGCTGTTTTGATGTTTCGCCCGTCGGCTATAATGGGGAAGCATGAAACTGCCTATAACTTTGTTGTTTTTTGTATGGATGGTAGCCCCTTCTGAGGCCATGAAGCCTCTCAGCTTTCGATGAGATGGATGCAGGGGTTTCTGGGAAACTGCACCTTATACTGTTCAGACCAAAACCTGTGTCACTAGTAAGTGTGAAGGCACAGAGAAAGCTCAGTTCAAACAATGCTTTTTATGCTGTTTTTCTGTCCCTCCCCCAGAGCACTAGGATTGGAAGGGACCTCAGGGAAAGATCACAGTCACTGGCCAGCTCCACAGTCAATATCAGAGCAGTCCTTCCCCTCTCTCCCCCCTTCCTCTCCTTAGTTTCTCTTTATCTGCTAGCAAGCCCAGCTTCAAAACTCAAAACATTTCGAAACTTTCAAAACATTTCAACTGCCCTCATTTCGTTTTGAAGCTGTTTTGAAACCTTTTGTTTCCTTTCTATTTCGCTGTTTTGAGCTCAAAACAGCTGGCGAAATTTCACGCAGCCCTAATGCCTATACTGTTATACCTACCAGTGCGCTTACACCCTCTCTCCCCTTTGATTCCTGCTTCATCCATAGTTTAAAAGCAACTGCCTGGCAGTAGCAGCAACATTTCTAGTGAGGCAGCACTGAGGGAGTCAATTGACTCCATGTCTCATAATCTACCCAGTCCCTTAAACTCTTCATTGCACACATATAAACAATCCTCTTCTTTTTAATGGTTTTGATGTTCTTCCAATCAAGCTATCCTTTGTTCTGCAATTCTGCTGTTAGCTGCTCCTAGTAATGAAGCTTCCATTTCACAGCCCTGCAGATTGTTTTCAACTCATTCCAATTAAGTTATATTTGTTTGTTTCAATCTTAAACAGAATAATATAGCCCTAGGCCCCCAGCATATTAGTAAATTCTAGTTTATTTTTAACTGGAGAAAAATGTGTGTTGTTTTATATATGATAATGCACCTTACATCTGCACCCTCCACCCCTTTTCAAAATTCTAGATCCCACAGGCCTGTAGCAATACAAGTTAGCTGAGTTGCCCTAATTTTAACTCTGGATGAAGCAGAGTTTATGTTGGATCAATTCTGCTACACTTTTATAGCTACAGAATCAAGCAAATTTAAGGGTTGCATCCTATCAGTTAATATCTGGAGGCTGGGGTAGTGCTGGCACTATGGTAATGATTGACAGCCCAGAGATTGCAATTTCAAGGCCATAGCAGAAGTGCTTATGAAGCAGCCAGTCATATTCCAATGAATCTGCAAATGCTGCTAAATATTTTTGTCACAAGGACACAGAAAAGCAAAGCTAATATCTTTACCCTTAAGCATATTCAGGTGAGTTGCTACAGGGCTTCAGTTTTTGATGCTTGCCCAACAGAGTGGAATTCAGGATGTTGTGTTAAGCATCCTGGCTCCTTACATTGTGCCTAGGGAAGAGTTAGGCACCCCAAAACTCACAGACGGGGCAAAGAACCACTTAGCCACTTAGAGCAGGGCTGTCCATCTGGCAGCCCATGGGCTGCATGCAATTCAGAGTTAACATGGAGCCCCTGAGCTCCTACCCAGATGTTGCTGCCCCTATCACTGGCTGCAGCAGCAGCTGGGGTCTTGGGGCTCTCCCTCCCTCTCCCAGTTTCTGCTGCACAGCTCCATCCTAGGTGGTGGGGCAGCACAGGCTCAGAGCACCTGTGCAGTGCAATGCCACAGGGGAGCCTGCAGGGAGCTGAAGACGAGGCAGAGTGCCACATCATGTGGAGGACTGTCTGTCCATACAGTGCAGTGGAGTGTGGGAGCACCCCCATGTATGCAGCGCAGTGAGGTAAGAGGCACCTGCCTGTGTGCATGATGCATCAGGGTGGAGCACCCACCCGCACATGCACGCGCAGGGCATGCAGCCTGAGGGACCCATGATGCTTAGGCACTTTGAATTTGGGCTGCACTGACCTGAGGAAGCTGCCACAGTTTTACCTCTTGCCCCTCTCTGGAGCATAGGTCCTGAGTCAGAGTTGCAGGGAGACACTTCATGCACTTAGGATCTAGAGTCCATACTCATCTGCTGATTGCAGGTGCCTACAACTTTTCTCAAGGAACTGAGCAAGGCTCCTTCTGTTTTGTTTTGTTTTTTAGCCAGGGATTTCAGAGGAGGAGGAGGAGGTAGCAGCAATGATGCCTACCTCCTTACAATAGCATATAAGTTAG